TAATTAAGGAGTAATTAGAGTAAGAAAATTTATGAGATTAATATAAATCAAATTAAACCGAAAACTAAAGGTGTCTACTCTCGTTTGCGTGAGAGATACATCGTCCTTCGAGGTCCGAGCTTCCGAGTTCACCTGACATTGGATATCATAGACGTCGCATCAATGCTCCGGCAATGCTACAACGTCTATGTAACCAACGGAGGCGGTTCAGGGCCTATCCTGGCCAGATGGTAGTACCCTGTTAAGGCCCGATTGTCCCTCGACACAAGACAAACACCAAGTATGAGCGATTGTAAAAAAGAGGAAGAGTACCTGCGGGGTAATGCTACGGCTAAATCCCTCACTGGTTTCGATCGTCAAGCGCTTAGCGAGAGGACGGTGACCAGTGGCCCAAGGATGCAGGAGGGCAACAACGCGTTGGGAGTGCCACAGATCATCGTGGACAGGGTGGAGAGACGAGAGAGTACGAGAAGCGTGACGAGTCAAGCTAGCATTTCTCTATTCAGTAATGCTTCTGCGATTGACATTGCTAGCTGCAATGAAGATCGAGAGGAATGCATTAAGCTGCGGGAGGAATAGGCAGCAAGCATTCTAGAAATGGAGGAAGAGGTCAGCAAGATGCTGAAGTCCTGCGAAGTCCAGAATAGTGTCAATAGGACAATCAAGGATGGACTCAGAAGCTTAACATCGCTCATACAGGAGGTTAAGGAGAAGCACGCAGCAGCGGCCAGAAAAGACGAGAAGTTCTACCAGGGACTTACTTGGTCGGAAGAAGCACGAAAGGACCGAAGAATGAGACGTGACCGTTTTAATGCAGTAATGCCTAAAACCGTTGTCTTGGAGTCTCAGAAGCGGAAGAGAAGTGATCCTGAGCTTACGAAGGACCCAAAAAAGAAAAAGGAGGAAAGGCAAGAAGACCAAAACGGCATCCAAGCCAAATTCAGAAAAAAGAGAAGAGCCACATTGGTCATCAAAGTAGCTGAAGGAACTACCTTCGCCGAAGTGCTGGCGAAAGTTCGAAAAGAGGCTGACCTGAAGGCCAGTTAGACAAGGGTTGTGGGAGCTTCACCCACTTAAAAGGGAGACCTGATCATTAAAATTGGGGGGTCGTCAAACAAGAAGTTGTTCACCGAAGAGGTGATCGGCGATCTAGACAAGGTGCAGATGGCGGACCGGCAGACTGTGCTGGAGATCCGCGACATGGACACCCTTACCGAACAGAAGGATGTCAAGGAGGCCCTAGACAAAGTATCTACGATACCAGAAGAAAGCAGGAAGGTGACGGTCCTCGGACCAAATAAGCGAGGTATCAAGCCCGCTGTCGTGGTCACCACCCAAGAGGACACTAACACGCTGGAGAAGATAGGGCACATTAAGATCGGTTTTGTGTCTTGCAGAATAAGTAGGAGAGTTATGGTCACAAGGTATCACAGGTGCCTTGACTATGGCCATATAGGTCGAGACTGCCAAGCAGTAAATCGGTCGGCTGCGTGCTTTAAGTGCGGAGAAGCCGTCCATAAGGCAGCAGATTGTAAAAAGAGCCCATGCTGCTTCTTATGCCAGGCAAAGTTCGGCGAGAAGGAGAATGTCCAGCATGTCGCCGGATCAGGAGGTTGCAAAGTCTTCAGAACTGCCCTCGAGGAAGCAAAGAAAACTTTGTCAAGGACAAGGAGGAAATAAGGCCAGAACAAGAGCATCACGGGAGAGTCGCGCCAGCGACAACATGGAACTATTCATCTACGAAGTCTGAAGCCACTAGGTATGAAAGGTTTATTTTTTTATCCTTGCATTTTGTGCGTTAAGTCCTACATACCCCAGCGCAAGTGGGAACTTCCTGGGTATGCGATAAAAGCATTTTTTTACTCTTCTCCCCCGTGAATTAAAAAAAAACCGAAAACTAAATTAAAAATGAGCAACAAGCTCAATAATAACAAAAAAACCTATAAGTAGAAATTATTTTTGACATTTGTATATGAAAGAGCAACTCGAAAAATATTTTTATTAATATTTTTTTTCCTTTGGAAAATATGAAAGTGATTTACACGAACATTTATAAAATTCTAAATACTTTTAAAGTCATAATATAAAACAATATACACAATTTGCGTAAAACTAGATGAGTTGAAACAGCCTGTTACAACTCGCCTAGGTGCGAAAAACTGCATCGTTTCGAATAATTATTTTTTATCCCACATGCACAAAAATGGCGCTTTTAGATAGATGACGACAGGGAGTAAAGTCACTCATTTGTTAGACCATATGAAAATGGCGACCTTTTTTTTCCATGGGCAAAAAAACAGCTGATCATCACATGCTTTTTTTACCCATGGAAAAAAAGGCCGCCATTTCATACAAGTCGAACAAGTGAATGACTTTTACTCCCTGTCGTCTGCTATCTGAAATCGACACTTTTGTGCATTAGAAATAAAAAATATCGTAAGTAACATGGGAGTAAAGGCAGCCAATTTGTTTACGATGATTTTTGTGAAACTAAGTTGAGGTCGAGGGCGCCATCGTAAACAAATGGCTGCCTTTATACCCTTGTTGCTTCATATACTATTTTATTTTAAATTTCGAGACTGACACAAAAAAACAAAACCATTTCATAAAACTAGGATATCCAATAGTTATTATGGTAAATATTAGAATAAGAAAAACATAATATGTGTCGAATAATAAAGTATCAAAATTTCGGCCAAAAACTTACTTTTAGCAATTTTTTTGCACACATATTAAATACAAATCAAAAACTTTTCTCAGGTGGTCAAGTAAATTTGAATCAAATAGTGAATCAAAAATGTAATAAATTCACGCTTTTAAAAATTTTTAAAAGGTCATAGCTTTTGAGAAATTGGCTTTGTTACAACTCAACTCGGTCTCCCCTACTATAAGCTTGCTTTGCAAACTTAAAAATTGCGGAAAGCTTACAGTTTTTGAATTATGAGGAAGTTTTGCAACTTTCTGTAAGTTTATATTGTAAGCTTGCGGCGAGCTTACAGGTATTAATTGAAAAGCTTCTGTAGAAAAATTAACACGACTTTGATATCATAGGGCAAACTTTACATGAAGAACGTCGGTAAATGTTACAAACGTAACCAGAAGGTTTTCAGAAAATTAAATTTCGAGGGCAGAAAAACAGTTTGAGAGGGAAAACAGAATAATCAGAAACACACCATTCTGTAAAACTTTGTATATTATATAATTCAGTCTTGTTTACAGTGGTCAATTTATTACTGAAGCGACAATCTCTCGTCAACCCGCCAGAAATCACAATCAAAAGAAATTTCGCCTACTTTCGTTAGTCGTCGTGAAAACCCGAATCCCTTCTCAGGCAGTCATACCTCTTTTCTCACAATTTCATTTCTCTCGCATTTCCAACATTCTCCCACCTTGAGCTAAGCTCAATCAATTTGGTAGAAATCTCGATTTAACTACTCTCCCACTTCGTCACATTACAGTCAATTTCTAATGGATACAGACGTTGAATAGGGCGGAGCAATTCTCCTTCCTTTGTTTTTATTCGAAATACCCTAATCTGATCGTCTCGACCTAGCAAAAGTGCTATCACGCGACCTAGAGGCCATTCGATACGTTTCGTGTTGTCATTGCCAATCAATACGAGATCACCCACATTTAATTTACGCATCTCTTTTACATTTGCATTCTCGCGTAAAGCTCCCAAATATTCTGATCGAAATCTCTGTCTCAAACTGACCTTAAGTGCCTGTAAATATCGCGATTTTTCCCTAATCTCTTCGCTTCTACTGCATCAAAATCAGCCACTTGACTTTCAGACAAATCTCTCAGATACATATTCGGCATCAAAGGAAACAAATCAGTAGAAGGAAACAAAATCATTGTCGTGAATTGACAATAGCTTCACAATCACACAATATTGTAATCATGTTTTCATAATCGACAGTAGTTTTTCCTAAGCTTCCACGCAACACCTGTTTAACAATACGTATCAATCGCTTCCACCAACCTCCCCACCACGCTGCAGAGGGGGGATTGAAATGCCACTTAATTCGTTTAGTCGCGCTGTATTTTTCGATTTCATTCCAATTCAACTTTTTTAAATTATTTTCGGCTCCTACAAAATTAGTACCATTATCTGAAAAAACTTCTACTGGCCTACCTCTCCTCGCAATGAATCTACAAAACCCTTTTATAAATGATGCGGTGGACAAGGACATCAATAATTCCAAATGGATCGCTCTGTACACAGCACATGTAAAAAGACACACATACGCCTTCACGTTATCTTTTAGATATAAAGGGCCTGCCAAATCAACACCGACCACCTAAAACACCCCGGCGTCTCTCACCCTTTCAATAGGCAAAGGTGCTTTAACCGCTTCCATTCTTTTTACTGTGTATCGCTTACATCTTATGCATTTTGATAAAATACTACGAACTTTTTTCCGGGCAGACAATATTTAATAATTTTCGCGCAAATTGCAAAGCAAAATCTGACAACCTGCGTGCTTGAGATCTCGGTGTTTTTCTTCAATTATTCGCGTAACAACAAAATGGTCCTAATCCAAAACAACTGGACAACGAAAACTTCCTTCATCCATGCGATTAAATACTTTTGTTTTTATTCTTAGCAAATCATTCTCGTTTCTAAAAACATCCAAACATTTTAGTTTTTTGTCATTTTTATTTACAAACATCTCCCTTCGTGACACTTTCAACAATAAAATTTCCACGCCTTTAAATTCATCACTTGAAATAAAATCAGTTAAAATTCTCTTTTCTTTTTCTTTACATTTTAAATTATTTACAAATCGCCGCATCCACGCTACCATTTTAACAATCCTACTATAATCAGAAAAATATTTACAAAATTGATCACACATACTTTCTTTTTCTGTACTTAACAAAATTGTAGAACTTACCGCTGTCTTCTTCTTTTCACAATTTATCTCATCCTCATTTACCTGGAAATCACCACTGGGCCAGTCGCTTCGAGATAACTTCAGACAATCCGGACCCTCTCACCATCTCGAAGCAAGCAGTTGTGATGCTTTACAGCCTCTAGACGGTAGATCTGCCGGATTCTGAGTACCAGGGACGTGTCTCCATTTCGCTCCTGCAGTCAGCTGTCTAATCTCCTGCACCCGGTTGTATACAAATGTACTCCACTGAGCTTCCTGATTTATCCATGTTATCACTGCACTAGAGTCAGACCAGTATATTATTTCCGGATTTTCAAAATTAAGTGCGTTAATCAATGATTTAGCTAGTCTCGCTGCAATTGTTGCTGCCAATAGTTCAAGTCGAGGTATCGTTATTTCTTTTGTTGGCACTACTCGTGATTTTGCACCAATTAGCTGGACCTCTGTTTTTTCCGCGTATTCTGTCCTAATAAACACCACTGCTGCATATGCGTGTCCACTAGCATCAGCAAAAACCTGAAAACTCGTTTCACTATTTTCCCGAACCGCACTTAACTTTCTTGGAATTTTCAAATCTTTAAGGTGATTTAAACTTTTTATCCAAGCCTGAAATTCCGATTTAATTTTTCCTTCTAATACACTGTCCCATTCTACGTTCTCTTTCCATATTTTTTGTAACAACAGTTTCGGATATAACATGACCGGGCATCTAAAACCAATAGGGTCAAAAACTCTTTGTGCAACAGATAATATAAACCTTTTTGTTATGGTATGACACTCTAAATTCGATGGAATACTCGCGAGATTAACTGACAATGTGTCTTCAACTTTATTCCACACTAGTCCCAAGACAGATGTCTCACCACTATTGTTGTTATCCCCCGTGCACTCCCACCGTCTAAGATCAAACCCTGCCATTTCCAAAATTCTCGTCACTTCACTTTTAAACTGAACGAAATCTTCCGGTGACTCTACACTTGTTACACAGTTGTCCGAATAAAAACAGTCATTCATTTTCATTAATATCTTGTCGCTTATATTTACATTAATATCGTTTTTTATAACTTTCTCGAGATGAAATTTAATCGTAGCGACCAATAAAGACGGGCTACATGTCAGTCCAAATACATCTCTTTTGTATCGATATGTTATCATTTTATCCCCACTACGCCACAAAAACCGTAAATAATCACGATCCGAAGGGGCCACACTAATTTGCAAGAAAGCAGCCTTAACATCAGCAGTCACCCCCACTTCTTCTTTTCGAAATCCAAGGATAACAGTTGGAATCAGTTCTATAAGGTTTGGACCTTTATCCAAACACTGGTTAATCGATGGTGAATTTCTTTCTCTTGATGCCGCGTCAAAAACTGAGCGAATCCTTGTCGAAATACTGTTTGGTCTCACAATCGGTCGATGTGGTAGATAATGAGAGGGATTATTTAACTCACTGTCAGGCACTTTTTCTATAATTCCCTCCCGTTCCCACTCCCGAAAAATTTCTCCATATTCGTCAACTAAACCACGTTTCTCTAAATCCATCATAGTATTTTCTAATCTTTTTATACATAACGCTATATTTGATCCAAGAGGTGCATGTTCTTGTATCCAGGGCAGTGATACTTCATATCTGCTTTTATTATTAACAGTGAAGGTCTCACGAAAATTTTGTTCCACCTCGGCTACTCTCTTTTGTCTAGTTTTCCTTCGTAATGGATCCTGTATCCCTAAAACATCCAATTGCCACAGATTAGAAACAGATGCTTCATCTACTTGCAGATCATTATTAAATAAAACTGTGTCACACCTGGAAATTTCTGTGTTACATTTCCCCATCACAGTCCAGCCAAGTCTAGTCTCCAGAGCCATCAAACCATTTTCGACATCATATTTTCTGCCAGTCAATAACTTTCCCATGACATCTGCACCAATCAACAGATCAATCGATTTCTTTCCTTCTCCCACATCCGACAAGAACACGCCATTGTTTTCGAGTTCCTTTTTCCATTCAGCTGATTTCACGAACGCCACGTCACCACATATCACTTCCTTATCCATTGCTTGAAAATTACACGCATATTCCCCACTTAAACTTTTTAAATGTATCAAGTACACACCATGTTTTTCGGGTGTCGATTTTACACCTCCGAACAAAGTGTGAATCAATTCCTGCTTTTTAATAGGACTATAGTTCAATTTATCAATAGCTTCACGTGTAAGATATGAACATTGGGAACCACTATCAAACAATACACGAATAGTACATTCACGATTTCCATTAACCAACTTTACACATAATGTTTGTAAATATACTTCAGGAACCCCGGTGAAACTTGCTAAATTCTGCTCTTGTCTAACCTCGTTTTTCGAATCACCATTATCACCACTGTTTACACTTTTCCCTTGACCGGGACACATTAACAGAACATGTCTCCTATTACACCACGCACATTTTATCTTTGATTTACAGCGTCTATAGGAATGTCCCTGTTTCAGACAATTAAAACAAGAGTTCGCTTCTTTTGCAATTTCGCGGCGTTCAGACAGAGACATCTTTTTTGCCTTATAGCAATCCTTACTATTGTGATTGTTGTTCTTGCAAAACATACATTCTATAATCTTCTGTGTTGTTAATAGCTCCATTGCCGTAGGTACATCGTGTGGTGAGTCATCTTTGTTCCTATGACGTTTTGATTTTTCAGTTCCTCCCAGTGAGAATCCTGCTATCGCCATTCGGATACGTTCCTCATTTTCCACTTCAGATCCCAAAAATTCCATTAACTGCGTTAAACGTGACTTTGAATCCTTGGCTCCGCTTGCTGCTGAAGTTCGTTGCCATGCTCTCAAAACTTCTTCCGGAAGTGACGATTCCACTAACGGATAGAGCATGGCCGCGCATGCTCTATGCCGTGTCTGATGTCACGCCTAAAGTCTCCAGTGCTCGCATCTGTGTCTCTAGTTTGTCATACAGCTGAACTAAAGATATTTTTTCTCTTCCCCGCACGACATTATTTAGCACCAAACTTAAAAGTTCTCGCACGTAAACTTCGATTTGTAATTCGTCCTTACCGAACCGATTCTTTAGGCTGGTAATAGCTTTTGCATAATTTTCTCGAGTGGGGGAAAACTATTCACTAACTCATATGCTCGCGATCCGTTTTCGATTGATTGTACCAAATGTTGGAATTTATCTTCGTCGTCGATACTGGTATCTTCATGGATTTTTCTGAACTGATTCCAGAATAACAACCAATCACGTATACTACCAAAAAACTTCACAATCTCAATTTTCGGAAGCTTAAAAGTCTTTATGTTGCTTTGTTGATTAGTTGTCGTATTGGTCGAAATAACGTTTGATCCCGAACTGCTCATATTTGATAATATACGCATTACCTTTAATTTTGCCGTCAAAAATTTCTTTTTGTATTCATCCGTAGAGGTATTTTCGGCGGCAAATATGGCTGCGCTATCACCAACTGACTCCATCGCGAGAATCTGATTCAGTAAATCCGACGAACTTCTATCTAAATCACTCATTTTTTCTTGCAGAATCTCGAAAAGGACCAAAATTTCATCAATGTCTCTATTCTGCTCACTTAAATATTCAGTTAATTCGTTGAAAACTTTGGTAAAAGCCGTTCTGTGACTTGTTCTTATCCGCTTCAAAGCGTCCATCTTGACCACGTTTTCACAATGTTCGTCACTCTCGTAATATTCCTCGAAAAAAGAATTAAATCTTTCGCCACGGTCGCCAAATGTTACAAACGTAACCAGAAGGTTTTCAGAAAATTAAATTTCGAGGACAGAAAAACAGTTTGAGAGGGAAAACAGAATAATCAGAAACACACCATTGTGTAAAACTTTGTATATTATATAATTCAGTCTTGTTTACAGTGGTCAATTTATTACTGAAGCGACAATCTCTCGTCAACCCGCCAGAAATCACAATCAAAAGAAATTTCGCCTACTTTCGTTAGTCGTCGTGAAAACCCGAATCCCTTCTCAGGCAGTCATATCTCTTTTCTCACAATTTCATTTCTCTCGCATGTCCATCCCAGACACGCAAAATGGGCTGCCCCCCCCCTTAACTTTTACATATCTTGACCCAGAGAGCTGCAATTCGGTACACATGTTAATATTTAAGTGCAGATTACAGGAAAAATATAGCGAACCTGATTGGCGGCCATATTTGCGAACTAGGAGAGAAAGAAATTGAATTTTTTGGAAAAAATTGCAAAAAATGACTCTATCCCCCCCTTAACTTTTACAAATCATGACCTAGTGAGCTGCAATTGGGTACAAATATTTATTTTTTAATTTAGATTACGGGAAAAATATAACAAACCTGAGGGGGGACATATTTGAGAGTTAGAAGGGAAAGAAATGTAAAAATACATGTAAATACATGTAAAAATATATGTATCTATACCGAATTTCAGCTCAATAGGTTTATATATATATATATATATAGTAATTAAAATAGGGGATTATCATATGTATATGTATAAATAAAAATGTATAAATACCCTATGTGTATGTTTGTGTAAAAAAGAAGTTTCATTTCGGTGTACGGAACACTCGAGTTTAGTGCGAGTGCAACTCGCACTTGTCCGATTTTTTTTCTCTTTTTGAATAAAATAATTTTGGCAGGAAAAATTGTTTAAAAAAGAAATGCGTACACGGAGAAAAAGGAATAGTTGACATTTCCTGATACATGGATATCACAGCCATATTATATTGAAAAATACGGGATATTCATAGTTAAGGTTGCTGCATCCATATTCTATGGCTGGCTGTATATTATTGGAGCAGCAAAAGATCTATGGTTGGATGATCCATTGTAATGGAAATGGGAAACAAAAAACTTTGAATCACTCAATTAATTAAATTCCATGTCACTTTTTATTAATTAATACACACCACCCAGTGGGCAAAAAACCATCATTGTTTTAAAAACGTTCCAAAAACGTTTTTAGAACGTTTCATGTCTGCCAAATAATGTTCCAAAAACGTTCCATTGCTTTTAAAACGTTTTAGAAACATATAACGTTTTTGGGACGTTATTTGGCAGACATGAAACGTTCTAAAAACGTTTTTAAAACAATGAAGGTTTTTTTCCCACTGGGCACTTATTGAATAACCGCATATTAACGAAATAAATTATTAACCGATGGGAAGGAGACACGAACCCTAGACCTAACGCATACTAAACACTAACGCTATCCACTACACTATACACGCAACTACAATATTTGAGCTTATTGATAGATCGTCCAACGTCCTTCCGGCAGGACGAAAAAGACTCAGGTGAGTCCCTCCGAAATCACTAAAGAAAACTAACATGGATCGAGATAAATAAAAAATGATATATATCATTGGAAAGGTAATGAAACAAGCTTTCAGCGCATATAAATATCGAGCTTGTAAGTTCAAAACTAAGGGCTGGGTAGTTTGAAGAAGTTACATGTTCCAAAAATTCACATAATTTTTAGTCACAGAATGACGAAGCCCGGTCCTGCCGGCAGGACGCTTTTCGCTTTATTTAAGAGACTGCCTAGCCCAGGTTTATAAATTTAAAGACTCGATATTTACATCATTTGAAAGCTTGTTTCATTACCTTTCCAACGATATATTTAGTTTTATATTTATCTGCTTCCATATTAATTTTATAGAGCAATTTCGAAGGGACTCGCGCCTGAGTATTACTCAGATATACTGAACAATATTAAAAATGAATTTTTTTTTAATTGAACAATTAGGTTTCATTCTTGGAACGTTTCTGAAGAGAAAGAGACTTGTCCGGTCAAAAAATAATGATTTTTGGGGATTTTACATTAAATTTACGAAAAAATGTTTTTTTCACTGTTTAAAAACATAGCAAGTTTGAAGGCTTTGAAAAATGGTTTAAATTATTATTTTAAAAAGTCAAAAATATGGATTTTTTTGTCTTTTCGTCTACTTTAACCCCAAAGAGTGCCAGAAAAGAAAAGTTGAATTCCCTTTTTTTAAAAGCCTTTTTTCCGGAACGTCCTTCCGGCAGGATGGGCGCTTGGACGATTTATCATTATAATATTCCTTATATACTCTACACATATTTCATGAAAATGAATTTGCATAAACACAAATTGACAATAACGATAATAAATAATAAACAATTGTAACACTATTTATACACAATAAACTCACAACGCGATTATATAGACGTGACAGGAAACCGACGCGACGGACAAATTGAGACGACCATTTTTAAATGGATGCCATGATAATGAATTGCGCGCAACATGTATCGAAATTTTGAACTAACTATGGATCTCCCAACCAAAGTTTATATGGATGAGGCAGCCATATGTGAAAATCCATAGCATGAATTGTTAGCCCAACCATGCCTATGGATGTCACATCCATATTTGATTCAACAATATAATATGGCTCCCTCATCCATCGAATATGGAATGTGCTTCCATTCTGAAAGTTGTCTCTTCCATTGAATTGGATAACACAAGAATATTCTGCTCAACAATATTTTTATGGATATCTCTTCCAGACCTTTTCTTTCCGTGTATACTATTTCTAAAAGTTAAAAGAAAAGGAAGGTAGAGTGCGCGGTGTGCTTTAAGGAAGAAAAGGGTGGCGATTTATCAAAGCGCGTTTCGTGTGGTCGTTTATATTTTTAAAATTTCGCTTATATATGCAATGTCGCGCGCGATGCAGGAGAGGAAAAATTTTGTCTTTGCGCCAAAAACCAAAAGTGAACGTCCTGAGTATTCGCCTAAAAATACTTGGGGGGTATCTTGTAGAGCGTGTGGTTATAGTCGTATTCGTCGTTTCTGGTGTGTTTGTGTGTATGTGTGTGTTGCCGTTTTTGTACTTTTGGCCGTGTGCAGTTTTTCTCTTTATTGCCAACACAGCATCCAGTTTTGCGGACCACAGAATTTGTAATTTATTTTTTCTTCCGAGAAATTTTTTACTTTTCTTTCCGGCTTTTTTAAATTAAGACCGCGAACTTTTTTGAGTTTGCCAGGTGGTATAGGTTATATTTTGAAATAGTCTCTTCAGAATAAGAGAGAGGATGTCGGAAAAGGAGAGAAAGAGAGAGAATTTTAGTGAGAGAGGATCGTCGACACGACATGACACGAGCATTCGTTTGGTTCGTCGTGCCCGAAAAGTTCGATTCGGCTCGTTGACCGCTCGACTCGCCGAGCACCAGTTGAATTCATTGCCAACCGCGTTAACGCTGCTTTATTTATTTTGTCACGCAATAAACAGCCTCGGGTTCGTTATACGCTCAGTTAGAGGCCAACTTAAAATCCACGAGTGACACGTGTCTATTTGTGTGTGTGTGTGTCGAGAATTTTCCCTCGTTTTCGAGGAAATTTTCCGTCTCACTGAATAGAATCAATTAAAAAAACTATCACCCTCCACCCCAAGAAAAGCTCCACTATTACCGGTCACTAATTTCCTTTGCTAGTCACTGAACTCTATCAAAAGTTTACAAAAATATTTTTTCAAATTTTTATTTTCCTTGAGCAGTAACAGTCATTAAGGAAGGAGTATTAAAATAGTTCAAAAAATTGACTATTTCATAAATATTTAATTAAAGTAAAAAAAATGTAATGAACATTTGTTAACAAAAAGTATGTTTGAAAATTCATTAACATCCCAGGTAGAAATTTGGCAAGTATTACTTGTTTCCTTCCAGTAGCTGTAAAGTCGAGAGCAAGTTCTACTTGCCAAGACAATCTGGCCAGTCCTGAATAAGTGACTGGCCAGTTTCACTGAATAAAAACAATTCCGCTTTGTGGACAGTACTTTTGTCAAGCCGCTGACCAGAAAATCTGATCATAATCGTGATAAGAATTTCTTTCCAGACACTGGTCAGTCACTGATTT